CCCTTCGTTTGTTTATTTTTCTTCTTATTCTTCGTGGTTAGAAACAGGAGGAAGAGTATGGTTTAATGGATCAGACAAGGAGGTGATGAGAGGCCTGCTTTCCGCAATAGGAAGGCACGTTGCACTGGGAACCCACAGTGATTCTTAGGGGAGGGTAGCAGTGAGACAATGCAGTAAGTAGCAGAAGCTATGGCGTTTGCCACACATGACTGCTCAGTAAGAGGAGTCGGTCATGTGTGATTGGCGGTCAATGGACCAAGTCTTAGTACTCTCCGGCTTCGTTCCGCAGTATACGAATGTCCTTTGGACGATATCTTTTAGCATACTATGGCAATGAGTATGGCAGGCCTTTCTATAAACGCACTTATTCCATGTTAACTCTTGTTAGTCTTCGTGACCAGAGCGCTGACCAAAGCACAGGATAAGAAGATGACCATGACAGGCCATTGATAACTATATGCAAATTGAACAGCTCCCGAGCCCTCAGAACAGAACGCCATGTTCATTCAGGAGAAGACCTGGAGACCTCGCTTAGACAAGATGAAAGAAAAAGCCAAGAGTGTCTCGCACATCCAACACTATTGACACGGTAGGGCTACCGGATTCAAGTCTACCCCTCACTCAACAAGCATCGATCCAGGGACGGTCGAAGCCTAGCCATTATTTTGCCGATGGAACCGCCAGACACGTCAATTAGATCCATTTTGAGACGAATGGAAGCGTAATTCAGCATTGTTACATGAGTAAGAGTATTACTGATAGGACCAGTGATCTAGGGGGCACCAATGAGCGGCATCGTCCTGCTCCAAGTGGTCATCTTATCAGCTCCCAAGACACGCTTATCCCTATCATTGAGGGGACGAATGCACCCCGCAGCTTGCGATCCAAGGTATAAAGATGCCTCCGGGTATGCCATCGGTTCCTTTATCTTCCAGGTCTCTTTCATTTTTTCAACTTTCACATACCATGTCCAACCTCCTGTGCAGGACACCGGTTGGCCAACGGGCACGAACCAGTGTCCTTACAAGGCCTACTCTATTCCTCCCATCTCTCCGATATTGTGCTACAGGGACCACCTTCGAGAAAGTCCCCAGCATCTCCTCCTCTATAGCTAAGACACAAGCTCCAGAGAAACCCTCCTCTGCACCACCTCATTCTGTCCTGCCTACCAAGACTCTGCTGCGGTCTCTCCTCGTGACCACCATCTCCTCCCACCAAGCCCTCCTTGTTCCTTGTCTATCCATTCTATCTTTCCTTACTAAGCCCCGCGGTGTCTTGCTAGATGTGGACCGCAATCCTCTCATCCATTGGTTCCTCAAGAAGACATTCTACGACCACTTCTGTGCGGGGGAAAAGGAGAGCCAAGTCCGGGATAAGATCCGCCAAATCAAAAGTACAGGACTACGTGGAGTTATTTTGACCTACGCGCGGGAGACAGTGCAGGATTCCAGCACGAACCAAACTCAATTCGCTCACAGCCAGGTATCCCAAAAGGCAACCGACACAATGTCATGCGAGTTCATCGCCGCCTGGCGGGACGGTTACCTGAAGACCGTGGACATGCTTGGCGAAGGTGACTTCCTTGCCCCAAAGTAAGTCGACCCCCCATAGTCCAGGGACTCTTTTACCCGATTTGAGAGTCAATCAGTGGATGCTGATCCCTATTATTAGGCTCACTGGGGCCGGACCCAAAGTCACAGGAGCCTTCGCCTCCGGACAACCCGTCCCCACGCAAATGGTCGAGGCCCTGGATGAAGTGTGCCAACGGGTAGTCGAGAAGAACGCCCGTCTCCTCATGGATGCTGAACAGCACTCCTTCCTCCAAGGGATCCACAACCTCACATTGGACATGATGCGCAAGTACAACCGAAACGGCAAGGCAGTAGTGTACAACACATACCAGGCTTATCTCAAAAGTACGCCGAGCACGATAGCGTCGCACATGGAGATAGCAGACAAGGAAGGATTTACGTTTGGATTGAAGCTGGTGCGGGGAGCGTACATGAGATCGGACCCGAGACAGCTCATCCACGATACGAAGCAAGATACCGATATCGCATACAACTCCATCGTGCGGGGCGTCTTGCAGCAGCGTTATCAGGGTTTCGGAGAATCCGGACGCAGGTTTCCCACCACGGATTTGTTTTTGGCTACGCATAATATTGAGAGTGCTGTGGCGGCGCATGAGCTGCACCAGGCTCGCTTACAGGCGGGGCTTCCCACTGGCCGAGTGGAGTTCGGACAGCTGCTGGGGATGGCGGATGGCGTTAGTTTCGGGCTGTTGCAGTTGAAAGATCAGAACAGTGTGGCTCCTGGTGTGTACAAGTGCTTGACTTGGGGTAGTATGGGAGAGTGTCTGGGTTATTTGGTGCGGAGAGCAGCGGAAAATAAGGATGCGGTTTCACGCACTATGGCTGAGCATTTGGCGCTTAAGGCGGAGGTGAGAAGGCGAGTTAGGGCTTTCTTTGGGTAGATTGTTTAGCTATGTGTATGGAGTATGACCGTGAATGAATGAACGCAATTATGGTATCTATTCATGTCTCCAATTCAATCAATTACCCCTCCATGAGTGTCTACATCATCCTTGTAAAGCTGCAATACCAGGATAATTTTCCCAACCATGGCATCTCCAGCCGATGCAAGGTGGTCACCCAAGAATGCACAGTTACAACTGTAACAAAGTGAGCTGCAGCTGATAATCTCGACCGTTATCGGCCGGTGAGCACCCAACTAGGTTTTACTAGGGCATACGCTGAAGTGCAGTTAGAATAGCCGCCAGCTTGCAGTGCGACCCACCGATATCCGAGTGGATCTGGATATACTTCCATTACACTTTGGAGTCAATTGATGCAATGAGGGGTAGTAAAGATGAGGGGTGCTGTCGTGCATTCATTCCTCCCATGTCTTTTGTGTCTTTTTCCTTCAACTCAAACAGTCAATCTCAATCCTTCTCGTGACACTTAATACCCTAGAATATCACACACACTACCATCTACCTGCAATACATCCATCATTCCAACTAACTATCCATCCTACCAAAACAAACCAACAACTACTACATCGAGAATGTCTACACCAGAAAACACCCTCGCCATCCTCGGCTGCGGTATATTCCTCCCCCCCTACCCACTATATACATCCATCCACTAACACCATATCCCAGGAAAAATGGGCATTGCCATCCTCAACGGCCTCCTAACCGCCCAGCCCACCACAGAATCGACCACCAACACCCCCCTCCCAAATCACTTCATCGCCACCGTCCGCTCCCCCTCCTCCCTCAACACCCTCCAATCCCAATTCCACTCGCACCTAACCACCACCCTAACCATCCGCCCCTCTACGGAGAACCACATCGCCATCTCCTCCGCCAACACCATCATCCTCGCCTGCGATCCCACCGACATCCCCTCCCTCCTCACCAACCCAGAGACAAACTCCGCCCTCTGCAGTCCCACTCCCACCCCAAAACTTCTCATCAGCATCGCCGCCGGCTGGACCGTGTCCTCCCTGCGGTCCCTCCTTTCCCCGTCCCCAGACTCAAACCTGTACATCGTGCGCACACTGCCCAACATTTGCGCTACCATCTCCCAGTCCATCACGGCGATCGAGCTCCCCTCTGAAGAGTTGCAGGCGAATGCAGAGACTCGTGTGCCGGAGGGGTTGATTTCCCTAACGGAGGGGATTTTCAACAAGATAGGACGTACGGTGCAGGTGCGGCCGGATCAGATGGATACGTTTACTGTACTGGGTGGGTCCACGCCTGCGTTTCTGGCGGTGTTTGTGGAGGCGTTGGTGGATGGGGGCGTGGCGATGGGGTTGGGGAGGGAGGAGGCGAGGGTGACGGTTGCGCAGGTGTTGAGGGGCACGGGGGATTTGTTGCTTGGTGGGGAGCATCCGGCGTTGTTGAAGGAGAGGGGGACGTCTCCTGGGGGGTGTACGATGGGTGGGTTGTGTGTGTTGGAGGAAGGGGGATTTAGGGGTCTCGTGGGGAGGGCGGTTAGGGAGGGGGTTATGGTGGCGGAGGGGATGGGGAGGGGGGTGGAGTTGGTTAATGGGACGGGAAGGAAGTAGATCATAGTATATAGTATTTTCTGGATAATTGGTGAAGAAGGGTGCGGTGTATGTTCAGGTGTTAACGTGTTGTATTCAAGTTGTAGTAGGCAACGTTGTACTATGTATCCAATTGTATGTCTCGCAGTGTCATCCAGACAAAAAGTACAGAAGTGAAGTAATATCAACTGGGCCCCCCTTCACCTAAGTTTTAGTAGCATCCCCTGTGACCCGTTAAAGGTGGACAGAAAGCATGTGCAAGAAACCAGACATCGTTACTCATTATCGTGACTGAAGAATATCCCTGACTGGTCCGCTGATAAGAGGAACTGGCGGGATGGATGTAAGCAGCAGATCCTCCTAATGGTGCTGTGAGTAGCTGGCTTGTGTTCGATGAATCCCCACGCTGTAGGTGTAAATGACCGGCTCGCCAATTGGAACGCTCAAGAATTGAAAGGAATGTAGTAAGAAGCACATCATGCTTAGAAGATTAAAGACGATTGAAGTATTGATCGATAATAAGGCTCGTTGCAGGATCCGAGAGTGAAGTCATGATGACTTCTCTTCATAGCGTGCTCGCAAGTGTCAATGTCCGGTCGGGATCTGTAGCCCGCTTCATGTCGAGAAGCCACATCAGATATGGCAGAAGCATCAGCTAGACATCACGCGCAATATTGTGGTGCGTCGAGGGACGCAGTGGATAGTAAAGTACGGGCGTAGAGCTCTTCGCTGAAGACAGGACAAGTGCCGTAATCGCTGCAAGGCTTCGCGGGGTGTATTGCGAGCAAGGCAAAAGCCTGCCACCATAAACGGCTTCAAGCCTGTCATGGTAGGGTCAAGGATATATGGTAGATGTCACCAGCGGTTGCGCTTGGAACGCTTGTGCGGTCGTCGCCGGGACGACAAAGAGTGGCCTGACATAAGAGCATTCAAAAGCGGCTAAGCGATCAAAAATCAGCAAAAAGTGCTTCGTACTTGTCTCTCAAATCATCAGTGTAAAGACTCTGGTTCTTCACATCCGGATCTGGATATTCTTCAAAGTTTCCAGTGTCCGCAGGATGATCGACTCGAGGGATGATGGGTCCCTTGATGCGGCGGTAGAATAGGTCATCCCAGTTGATGTCTTCGAAAAAGGGATGCGTCTTGACTCGGGCTGAGCCCCCGGAGATGTAGCCCAACCGCTCAGTCGGGTTGGTCTTGCACAGCAACGATATGATGTTCTGAGCTGCAGGCGACATGTTCTGAGGATAACGTATGTGACCCTCGACGATCTGCTCGTATATGCGCATCGGGTTTTGGTCCCAGAATGGCGGCTGTCCCACAAGGAACTCGTATATTAGGATACCTAGAGCCCACCAGTCTACAGCAAGGCCGTGACCGCTGTTATGAATCACTTCCGGGGCGAGATACTCGGGAGTCCCACACAGAGTATAGGTCTCATGGTCGCCAACCTGTTTTGCGAACCCAAAGTCGACTAGCTTGATATGACCCTCGGCATCAAGCAGGATATTCTCCGGCTTAAGGTCTCGATAAACAACTCCCTCCACGTCATGGAGAAACTCGATGGTTAACGCTATCTCGGCCGCGTAGAACTTGGATGTATTCTCGTTGAAGCGTCGTGCACGTCGTAGGTAGCTGAATATCTCGCCTCCAGGGCAATAGTCCAACTATGACGACATTAGTCTTTCATCGCCATGATGCCACAGGTTTCACTGCTCTGGTTGAGGATTGGTCGCGTGACAGGAATACAGATGAATCTAGGCTTCATACCAACATATATAGATTCTGGTCATCGGAGAAGGAGGCAATCAACGTTGTGATGAAAGGATGGCCGGAAACATCTGCGAGAGTCTTCCGTTCGTTGCGGACATGCTCGACTTGCTTCAGCTTGATCACTGTCAAATTTCGAAACAGAAACGGTTAGCCAGGTGCTTTTGCTGCAGTATGCATCACAAATTACATACCATCTGCCTTTCGGAGTATTTTCAGAGCGTAGACCCTGTTCTTGCGTTGCCTTTCGTCGTTCAACTTCACTAACCACACCCGAGCGAATGTGCCTGGGCACAAGAATCGCCGCCGTCAGACACTGGCTAGGTTGCGCAAGCGACGAAGCGAAGCTTACCTGTGCCCAGTGTCTTCAACAGTGCGAAGTCATTGACGTTCAACCGACGAGTCGATATCCCCAGCTGTTTCTCTTCAGCACGACCAGCGATAACGAACGGACTCAGTCGACGCTGATGAGGCGGTCGGACTGAAGCCACTATCTCCTTTTCCCTCTCGTGAATATCTTCCGACCCCATCTTGAACTGGCTAGTTGGGACTGAGAATCTTTGCATGTCGTTAGCGCATCGATGGTTTTCGTGACCCAGAAAATGGCAAGGGATCCTGTCGCGGAGTACCGCGGGGAGGGGGAAAGGTGTGGGGAGAAAAACAAGGAGTCGCTGGGGTAGCAATTGGGCGAGTACCGGGTCCCTTAAAGCTGGTAGAGAAATGCAGGCGAGTTATTATCGCACATAGAGATTGATCAGGGGAACAGCAACGGCGCGGGGATTCGCAAGAGGATTTTGCGGGATGGAAGAGCTTTGATGAGGCCGGTCTGGCTCTCATCCAGCCGGCGGCGCTACGGGAAAGAAGAGACTCTGACGTTACCGGCCGGCGGGGCAGCCACGGGCCTGTGTGTTCGAGTCCCCTGTCGGTCACCAGCCATCCCCTCGCTGCTCAGCGGCTGCGATCTTCTTTTCAACTGAAAAGTGGTTCTAAATCCTGGAATAGAAAGATAGAGAGGGATATAATGACATTTCAAGTAACGTATATGCTATTTCAACACTCCAGCAATGTACTAGTACAAGACACCAGACCTCCCCGGACGAAAGGCATCAATACCAGTGTCAGCGCCAACGACTAATGGTCCCTGGACAATAAGCAGAATTGCCGCTTCTTGATCGCAATTTGGCTGCACTCATCTGTACAGCAGTATTTCTATAGGGGACAAAAACACGTCCATGGTGGACATGAGTGGCCAAGAATCGGGAACACCAAGCGCAACATGCGTAACCCGCTCAGCCAGAGCTTTTGGAGTTGAGAATCAAGCCAACAATCAATCTATGAGTGTAAATATAGTATCTTGACTGCTCCAGTGGATGTGTACTTACCCGTAGAGACCAAGAACCTCGCCAAAAATCAAGATAAGAATCATACCGACATAAACTCGAGATTGCTGCATGTACGCACGAACACCCTGTGTCCAAATTAGCAGCTGCGCACTTCCATCCAGACACTCCTCGCAATGACGGCTTACCGCATCTCCGACAACACCAATAGTATAACCGGCAGCCACGCCTGCGAGGCCAACCGACAACCCCGCAGCAAGGTGCATAAAGCCACTTCCAAGACAATATCATCAGAATATTTTGTATAAAAGTTGACGCTGAAATCGGGAAACGTACGTGTAAAGGCTCATATGCTTGTTCGGGGGAGGATCCATGTCACCGGCGATGAGGACCGAGATGACCAGGCCGTAAACTGCGATAATACCGGACATGACGACGGGAATCAAGGACTGCACAGGTTAGTACAATCACGACAACGTGGAAGATGCGACAAAAAGCTGGAACAGGTCCAACATACCTTCATGATCAGGTCCGGCCTGAAGGTTCCCACTCCGGAGATACCAATTCCTGACTTCGCCGTCCCGTATGCGGCTCCCATTGCTAGATGAAGTGAGCTGGTATGTTCTCATAACAATTAATCAATACCTCCAGCTTTGCGAGTCGACATACATCCGAAGATCATCTTTGGAGAGGTGGTTAGCGTGCGGTGATCGGAACGGGTGGCGTGTAGTTGATACTCACAGCTGCCGCAATACCTGCCTGTTTTTTGGTGAGTTAGCAAGCGATACATGTCGCGTGAAACTTTCACAATCAAGACCGTGAGGGAGCAACTTACGAAGGAAAAGAACGGAGCGAACTTGGGGGAGAACTCGCTGTCCGCCATGATGACCGAATCCACCCAGGAAGCACGAGGATCAGGAGTGAGAGCAAAGGAAGGGGGAGGAAGAAGAAGAAAAAGAAGAAAGGAACAAAGAAGCGGAGAAGCAAGAGCCTGGATAGGTGAGTCGAATCCTGGGCCAAAGCAGAAGAAAACCGAATTACTATCGTCTCCAGACGTCAGTCGGAAGCAGCCAGCTGGATAAACACGATAGCTTTGGCAGGTCGGCGGAATGCGAGGTTGACCGAAGTAGTCCGCCCGGGCCACCGTATAGGAGAAGGTGGCCTATCCGGGTTAGGAGTGACATGTGCCTGTTCGACCCAACAACCCCCGTGCTCTTCCTTCTCCTAGACTCTCCTACACGGCCGCCGGTCCCATTCTTCACCAACTTCCCTGGCAATCATAATAACTGACACCTGCCTACTTACTCCCACTAATCCACTACTGCCCTCCCTCCCTCTCCCCACTCTCTACCTTCAACTCTCTCTCCCTCTATAACCTTAAAAACAACTTTCCTTCCCCTCCTCCTCCTCCACCCACCCATCTTGCCTGGCTTTACCCCCTCAGATTCTTTTCTCTCCCTCTTCCCTAGGCACGCCACCCCCAGTCTTGATCGACCGATCCCGCCCGAGGGAGCATGCTGAGGTTATGAACTTGCAGGGGCCCTGGCTTGCCGTTGCGCTCAAGGCTCCTAGCGCACTTGGATCGTTAACACACCACGCGGTCTCGACACCCTCCCCAGACTTCCAAATCGCACCAACACTGGACCTCCCAAAGGCATGATACATCGAGGGGGCTTTTGTGTGTAGAGGCTTTTCTTCTCCTATTCGAATTTTATTCTTGTCTTATTTTACTCTTGATTCCGCTTATAAATTATCGCCCCGTGGAGTATCTCATTTTCTTTTTTCCCACCCGCGCTCTCCTCCTTCTCCTTACTCCACGATTCGAAACGATCTCCTCGCGACGCTCTGCACGCTCTCTACGACCGGATTCGATACCCTCCCTTTCTCCCACCTTCACCTCACCCTCCTCTCGCCTCGTGTGATTCACCTTCTTGCCACCTTTCACCCAAGATATCCCCAGAGCGAGGAGTAAAGAGGGGGCTACATACACACCATGGCCGATTTAGGGGGTCAGCAAGGCCGGAACTACCGGCCTTACGGGCATCCCTCCGCTTTTCAACGTGATGCTGCATTCTCCGAGATTTTCGGCGGAGCACCGGGACGCTCGCAGACGATGACCTCCCAGACTCCTCAGTTCTCCCAAGATCGGGCCCATACCATGTCTTCACACGTGCCCCATCCGCAAATGCAGAGGGGTCCGCCACCACCCGCGCGCCAGATGCAGAATGGATACCCCCCGGGCCCCCCCAACGGTTATTATCAACCGTACGGTGGAAGCGCAGCTACAATGACCTCCCAGCACCCTTCCCAGAATCCTCCACGACCCTATCCCGGACGCTCTGCTTACCCTCAGCCGCAGAGGCTTGATTCGAGACCGAACCACGGGCCACAATATCCGGATGCAAAGGGTTATGCTCGACCAGTGCCCCACCCTGCCCTGAACTCCGACGCTTACAGATCAAGGTCAATGGCGAGGTTGGGAGGGCCACCGATATATCAGCCACCATCCAGTGGCTTCAACCATACCTCTGCAACCTATTCCCGCCAACAGCCCTATAATGCAGGCGCCGCCCCCATGACACCTCAGGGACGTGTGGTTCCGGAGAGGAATCAGAACGAGCGCTCCATGTCATTGACCACTTACTCCACTGACCGCGACCACGCTCATACAACACAAACTGGACGGGTCATTCCTCCCAGGCGACAGCCTTCCGGCCCTAGTCCACCCCCGGAAGCCTCCTCGTACCCAGCGGATGTGATTAACGCGTATGATGTTAACGGAAAGTCTCGTCCCCCTAGCGATGGCTCCATGAACTCCCGCACCATGTCCATGGCATCCACCGTTGTTCCGGACCGTACTATGAGCATGCAAAGCCAAATTGCTCCGAAGCCCAGTAACACGTCGACTCTTGTCCAAAGCAATTCCCGTCGGAGTAAGGTGCCGCTAGTTTACCCAGCCCTGCTTTCGAGAGTGGCCGATGTCTTCCGTGAGAGGATTACGCTCGCTGAACGGCAAAAGAACGGACTGTCGTATCAGAACGCGTTCTCCGGTGCGGAGGCGGTCGATCTGATCGCCTACATAATCAAGACTATGGATCGCAATCTGGCTCTGCTGTTGGGACGCGCTTTGGATGCGCAGAAGTTCTTCCACGATGTGACATATGACCACCGTCTGCGAGATGCTCCCGGTGAGCTTTACCAGTTCAAAGAAACCATGGGAGAGGAAGCGCCCAGTTCGGAGGTAAATGGAGTGTTCACGCTATTGACTGAATGCTACTCGCCGACTTGCACTCGTGACAGCTTATGCTACTCGATTGCTTGTCCCAGGAGGTTAGAACAGCAAGCTAGACTGAATCTCAAGCCGCAGCCGGGACTCCGCTCGTCTGCCTCCAAGGGCAGTTTGCACGGTGATGACGACGACAATGATAACCAGAAATTGTGGATTAACATGGTTCCTAAGGAGATTTCTGATGGCATTGACGACCGCGAGAAGAAACGTCAGGAGATCATTTTCGAGATCATGTACACCGAGCGCGACTTCGTCAAGGACCTCGAGTATCTACGAGACTTCTGGATGAGGCCATTGCGTTCGGCAGGCAATGCTAATCTTTCGCCAATCCCTGAGCACCGACGGGAGAAGTTCATTCGCACGGTATTCGGAAATTGCTTGGAAGTCTTGAAGGTCAACGGCGGATTGTGTGAGGCTCTGAACGCACGCCAGAAGGAGAACCACGTCGTCAAGACAGTTGGTGATATCTTCTTGCAGCACGTGCCACGCTTTGACCCATTTATCAAGTACGGTGCAAACCAGCTCTACGGAAAGTACGAGTTCGAGAAAGAAAAGGCATCAAACCCGGCTTTTGCGAGATTCGTTGAGGAAACAGAACGTCTCAAAGAGTCACGGAAGCTGGAGTTGAACGGTTACTTGACCAAGCCAACCACTCGTCTGGCAAGGTACCCCTTGCTTTTGGAGCAGGTTGCCAAGAACACGGCGGACGATAATCCTGACAAGCAAGACATTCCCAAGGCCATCAAACTCATCAAAGATTTCCTGTCTCGCGTCAATGCTGAGAGTGGAAGAGCTGAGAACCATTTCAACCTTGTGCAGCTCAATTCAGCTTTGAAGTTTCCCCCGGGCGAATATGTCGATCTGAAGCTGACGGAAGAGAACCGTCAAATGCTGACGAAGATGGCTTTCAAGAAAACGCCAACTGACAGTTCTGAAGTTACTGCATACCTTTTCGATCATGCGGTTCTCCTGGTGAGAATCAAGATCGTGAACAAGCGGGAGGAGTACCGAGTATATCGGAAGCCCATCCCTCTCGAGCTTCTGGTCATTGCTCAAATGGACGAGGTGATTCCCAGGGTTGGTGTCGCTAAGAGGCCCTCTTCTAGTCTGCTCTCCAACAAGGCTGCTGCAAATCCACCCACGACTAAAGACGGCCTGCCCATCACTTTCAGGCATCTTGGTAAGGGGGGTTACGAGCAGACTCTATACGCCACTTCTCCTACGCAAAGAAGGAAATTCATCGAAATGGTAGAAGAGCAACAGAGGAAACTTAGGGAGCGGAACAGCAACTTCTACAATAAAACTGTCCTTTGCGAGAAGTTCTTTACCTCTGTCAACAGGGTAAATTGCCTTGTTCCAGTTGGTATGTTATTACTCAGCTCCCATTATAGCTTTCGATGATATGGCTAATGACTTTTCTGGCAGACGGTGGCAGAAAGCTCGTGTATGGTACAGACAGCGGCATTTACTTGTCTGAGCGTTGGCCTAAGGATAAATCGGCTAGACCTAGACGAGTTCTTGACGTGAGCCAGGTTACGCAAATGGACACTTTGGAAGAGTATCAACTACTCTTGGTCCTGTCGAATAAGACGCTCTCGTCTTACCCAATGGAGGCTTTGGAGATCAGTGAAAGTCAAAACACAGTCGCAAAGCGGCCCAAGAAGATCCAGGGACATGCGAACTTCTTCAAGGCCGGAATCGGACTGGGCCGTCATTTGGTGTGCTCTGTCAAGACTTCGGCTTTGTCGACGACCATCAAGGTTTACGAACCCATGGATAATCTGGCTAAAGGCAAGAAGAAGTCTGCGGTCAGCAAGATGTTCCAGAGTGGTCAGGATAGTCTGAAGCTCTTCAAGGTGCGTCCACTTTCTGTCTGTGTCCTCGTGGTTAGCATTTCTAACATTCAGAGCAGGAATTTTACATCCCCGCCGAATCGTCGTCGATACATTTCCTCCGTTCCACACTTTGCGTTGGCTGTGCACGTGGTTTCGAAGTTGTCAGTCTGGAAACCACCGAGACGCAGTCACTCTTGGATCAGGCCGACACCTCACTCGACTTCGTTGCACGCAAAGAGAACGTCAAGCCGATTCATATCGAGCGTATGAATGGAGAGTTCCTGCTTAATTACAGCGACTTTTCTTTCTTTGTCAACCGCAATGGTTGGCGCGCACGCCCGGATTGGAAGATTTCTTGGGAAGGCAACCCTAACGCTTTTGCCCTCTCTTATCCTTACATTCTTGCTTTCGAACCAAACTTCATTGAGATCCGACACATCGAGACGAGTGAATTGGTCCATATCATGACCGGAAAGAACATCCGCATGTTGCATTCTTCCACGCGAGAGGTAAGTCGCTCTGAATCACGTGATGTCCACCTGCAGCACTAACCACCGTCCAGATTCTGTATGCCTACGAAGATGAATCGGGCGAGGACGTGGTAGCCAGCTTGGATTTCTGGAACAAGCCGCAACACTAGGCCCGCTGAAATAAGAAGACAGAGAGGGGAATACGAGAAATAACTCATGCACATTGACTGCCTTTGACTGCACTTTAGAATGGCCCTATGATGGTCGCAAAGCGCATATATCCACTGCATCCTTTTTTCTTTTGAAGCTCAGTTTTCACTGACCTTTGCGGTCACTTTGACTTATTGAGCTGAACCGAGGATCTCCTTTTTATAATACCTCCATGTTATCACTTCGATCTGTCTGTATCAGGTCAGCTTGATCAAATTATCTTTGTACAATGAAGCGCATCCATACCACATGCTTATCCAATCACTATTATCCAATTGGTTGTTAGACTGCGACTATAGATTCTAACTAGTCATGGCTCGAGCCTGGAATGCCACCTCACCCATCACGGGGTCACTACTTAATCACCTACTGCGCTCTACACTGTCACATGAGTTATTCCTGGCCCTTAGGTGACCCGGTCACATGCCCACTCTGGCCTGGCAACCCAATAGCAGTCAGTATATGCATCCCTCCATAGATGTTATAACTCTTATGCCCGGAGTCCATCCACATGATCCCTGGAGAATGGCGAAATTCGAAAACACTCAGCGGGGCATCTGTGTTTTGGGTATTTCGTATAGATGGCTTTCCTTTTCTGTATACTATGCTCGTGCTCGTATACAGAGCAGTCAAGTAGAGAATACTACATCTTATCTTAGTAGTACCATGGCTTCCTAACTCCGTAGAATCAATCCCGGAATGAGTAGACAAATCGTCTATACGGTTCAATAGCCTATACATGCAGATATCTACAGCGTGATTGGTTTTAAGCTGTGAGAGCCTTCATGCTGGACGTCTCCAGGATCTATATGCCTGGTTATCAATTCTATCTCTTCTTCTACTAAAAGGGCTGCTACAGGCTCCAATGGGTAGTATTTGTAGATTATTGTACTAGTATTTCAATTTAATCTTCTTCGTCCGATTCATCCGATGACAGCGAACTTTCCGAGCTTCCTGGACTTTCAGTAACCGTCGTCTGAAGGCTTCTTTCCGGCTGCAAAATTTCCAGGATCTTTGCTCCGCATTTAGTATTCTCCGCTGCTGCTCTGAGTACTTCCTCGGTCACTGGAAGTCCGCTTCTCCCTTTCTGTTGCAGGAGATATTCCAAGATTTTAACTCCCAGTGTCTTATTCATTGCTGCTGTCTTGACCACTTCTTCAGTGACTGGAAGTTTTTCCCCTCTTTGTTGAAAGAGTAACTCCATGGCATGATATCCATAGTACTTATTTCCTGCTGCTGCCTTAACCACTTTCTCTGAGATTGGAAGTCTTTCCCCTTTCTGTTGAAAGAATATTTTCATAATCTCATGTCCAAGCCAAACATTTCCTGCTGCTGCCTTAACCACTTCTTCTGAGATTGGAAGCATCTCCCCTTTCTGTTGGAAGAGGACCTCCATAAGTTCATGTCCACTGTCCCCATTATCTGCTGCTATCTTGACCACTTCCTCAGTCACTGGAAGTCTTTCCCCTTTTTGTTGGAAGAGTACTTCCAGCACCCTACTCCCAGATGTTGAATTTCCTGCCGCTACCTTAATCACTTCCTCAGAGACTGGAAGTTTCCCCCCTTCCTGTTGGAAAAGGAGCTCCATAACTTCACGCCCACTGACCTTATTTCCTGCTGCTGCCTTAATCACTTCCTCTGAGATTGGAAGCCTTTCCCCTTTCTGTTGAAAGAATATTTTCATGATCTCATGTCCAAGCCAAACATTTCCTGCTGCTGTCTTAATCACTTCCTCAGTCACTGGAAGTTTCCTCCCTTCCTGTTGGAAAAAAAACTCTATAACTTCACGCCCACTGTCCCCATTCCCTGCTGCTGTCTTAACCACTTCTTCAGTCACTGGAAGTTTCCCTCCTTCCTGTTGGAAAAGAAGCTCTATAACTTCACGCCCACTGTCCCCATTTCCTGCTGCTGCCTTGACCACTTTCTCAGAGATAGGAATGCTTTCCCCTCTATGCGGAATGAGTAATTTTAGTAGCATATATCCTTCGGGTTTCCCTGCTGCTATCTTGACCACTTCTTCAGTCACTGGAAGTCTTCCCCCTTTCTGTACAAAAAGTAAGTTCATAATCTTATATCCCTTATTATAATTTCCTGCTGCCACTTTGAGTACTTCTTCAGAGACTGGAAGGGCTTTCCCTCGTGCTTTGAAGAGGAATTTCAATATCTTGGTTGCCTTTCCTCCAGTATTCCCTGCCACCGCCCTGACCACCTCTTTGGAAACCGGGAAGGACTCTCCACGGTGGCGATAGATAGCCTTCAGAACCTGATCTCCATACCTTCCAGAGTTTCCTGCTGCTGCCTCAACCACTTCTTCAGAGATGGGAAGACTGGACCCTTGAAGCTGGAAAAGGAGCTCCATAATTATATAGCCACATGGTCCTTTATTCTCTGCCACTGCTTTGACCATTTCCTCAGAAATTGACAGATCGTCTTGCCCACTTTGAAAGAATTTTCGCATAATCCTGGAAGGAGGGTATTCAAAATCGTCTGCACAAGCCTTAGTCAACTCTGAAGCAGTTGAAACATCTGTACCACTGGAGATGAGAAGGTGCGCTATATCCTCATATTCTGGCTTTTTTACATCGAATGCTTCCATGAAAATACCTGTCATAATCCTGGTAATATACTTTCGACTATACTCCGCCTCCAAGGACTGTTCTTGATAGGCTAGGACCATATCGAGGAGCTCTGCTTTGGGCCAGCATTGAAGCCTAGTGTTATTGTTCAGAGGAAACCTCCACGCCAATAGGATGTCACTCGGTCTACCCTGTGCATGCCAATCCTCGGATTCTCCTCCTAGAGACTCTCTAGGACGCGTTTTGCAAAGGGTCACGGCAGGTGTGACTATCCTGAAATGGTCTCTGCAGAGCCTAATGATACTTGGTCTCGAAGCCCCTTGTAGAAGGAAAATAACATCACCAGGATTGAAGAACTGTGCAAATGTCTGGAGTTCCCAACCATCCCAGTTACTCTGATACCCGATTGAGCGGGCAGTGTCATTCAAGTACATTTTCACTTTTTGATGGCCGAAGTCTGATACGTGTTGTACAGAGCGAATATAGCCTAGAGTCCAGCCTCTGCCTTTGATAATGGCTATATCTGATTCAGGCCATGTCTCCACAGAACATCCTGGAAAAATGTGATTGGTAACTTGCTTGAACACCTCGTACCAGGGTAGGGCATAGTTCGGCGTTAGAGCGGGTGTGATAGGGTCAGCACTTAAACCTAGAAGTGCAAATATTTTGTCATGCTGCTCGGTAGCATTGTGGTAGCAGTACATGCCAACAAGCTCCCCAATAGTAAAAGTTCCTCGTGATCCAGGCTCATACTTTGGCCGGAGAAGCGCCCCCTTGATAAGAAACGCGACTGAGCCTATCATTTCTTGACAATCCAGAAGACGATCCAATTTCTTGAGGCCTTCACAAAAAGCATGTCCGTTTATCTGCGCAGAGCCACACATAATATAGATATGCCGTGCGACACCAACTTCCTGAAGTACCTATTATTATGATCAGGTGTCATTCCTTCTGATATGGAATGTGTGAGAAGTATTGTCTTACCCAAATACGGCGAAACCAAGCTCTTTCGAACAACTTCACACATAGTGCCCCACACCCCCTAATATCTACATCCTGCCCTTCCGCTAGGCAGCGAAGGGCTTCAAGCGCTTTGTCACCATCTTCATAAGCCTCTCCAAGCCAAACAGTGACATGTTGGGCCTGTGCATATATCGTCCGCATAAGTGGGATCTGCTCGGTCTTCTCGTTTAGATCATCCTGGTTGATGCAAATCGCATCAACCCACAGTACTCTCCCAAGCTGCCGATTTCGGAGACGTGACAGCGCAAAGTAGAGGTTTTCCGTTACGGGGAACACGCAGCTGTTCAATACAATTGTTCGAGATCTCGTGTTACTTCCCCATACGTAGGAAAGGGCCTCGTAGAGGTGCGAATCCGCGCCGCCGCCTGACGTTAAGTCATAGTTGAAGAGTTCGCATTCGATTTCTGCATCTTTATCTTTATTCGGCAGAAGGCGTATCATGCGAGTAGTTGAATGTGGGGATTCTAACGGGACCTCTGTGTAGGTAAAGGCAGGTCCTGTCAGATCAGAGTTGCGTGCCGGTTCTGGAGACATGGTGCGATTCAAGTCTCTCGTACGATGTTCAGTGAATATCGTATGGACCTTAAGTTCAACGCGCTAACCAGGGGATTGGAAACGATAAATCGCGTCTGTCTGAAGAGCAGACGGAGAGATATGTCCCAGCACCTTGACCAGTTCGGAGTGAGAGAGTGAAGATGAGCTCTGGGGGATTGTCGCTTCAAGGCAATCCACTACAGGCGCGCCAACTCACAGGTGGAAGGTGCATGGCGCTGAGTTGGTGCGGCTGAATGGCGGGGTACACTGAGGCCGATCAATGCTAACAACATTACTAATCTCATGAGATTATTCTCACTCCTCTTAGACAGATGGGGAGATGTATAGTGGAATTATAGACCGTAATTTCGGTTCTTATCTCTCCCCATTTGATGTCTCTATACCGAGTATATCGCAACCAAATCTGGATCGTTCCCAATAAGTTAGGCACACAACTGCTGCGCACAATCATACGAGGTAGAGAGCAAGGAAAGGACTGGGAATTGCTTTTTCTGAAATAAAAATAGAAACAATATACACCCTCTGTCTGTCGATGTTATAGGCGGAATGATTTTCTACCAGCATCTACCCAGGTCAGTTACAGCTAACTCGGGCAAGGCCAGTATGTGAGGATAGATGGTATACTAGGGACTAAGTACTATAGATCAGTAGTATAGTGAGTACATATTATGACCATCCATGATTGACTGCATTGAAGTAGGTCTTGTTGCTAGTAGATATATATTTCAGCAGTCCAAACGTCTTGGATCATGATACTATCTCTCAGCATACTCCCAAAGAGATAAAGCTCCAGCTACTGCTAGTAAACAAGGCTCAGAGTTTGAATATCAGTAAAATATACACTAGACACCCCTTAGTGCTATATCCTAAGCCAAATAGTAAATATCGATATAGATGGCAAATAGCACGTTCTAGGTTTCATGGCTTACACGGTCAGAAGAGACATCTAATGATTATCTAATATATAATTATGAACTTATGCAACTCATTATGCTGGGGCCCAAGAAATGAAGGGTCAAGACTGGAATCTGATGCTGGTCTGAACGGCAATGTGATGTGTCTTGTATACGCGTAGGCACTCAAATTACTTCTCGTAGTAATGACTCTACGTGCAATGTTCCTAGTCCTGCGTAGACACGACGGGGAATAGAACATTTGCTTACCATGCCATCAGAACTTACATACCAGGAAAACTTCGGGTCTTTTGTCCTCATATACTACTATTCAACTAAGACATATGATGATAAGATTAAGACATGAACCACGAGCACAAGGAATATGAAACGACAAAAGAGGGAATCTTGCTGCGCTGCTTGAGATTGGGACAGGTTTCATCGACAAAAGCAGAAATGGGAAAAAAAATAGAAAAGGGATGGGCAATGAGAAGGAGGTTATGCAGGTTCAGCGACAACTGTCAGCAAATTAAAAAGATGCTATCTCTGACCCCAAGCTTCGCAACATGGGCAGCGCGAAACACTTCGGAGATCTTTCGACCAGATTAAAGAAGACATGGGAAGAAGCCAAAATTTGGGAGAGGGAAAGAGCAGAGCAGCAGCAGGATTCCGTCACCTCTTGTCCGCAACCCTCTGAGTGAACAAAGGGGAATGCTGCCAGTCGTCAAGATAAACGGAACGTTGCATTTCCCCCTCTCCTCTCGGATAAGAAGCTATTAACGTGAATAAACGGTCGACTAATCTTTCCCCCGTCGACAGTCACAACTGCCGTGCCACGAATCTCATTACATAGGCACAAACGGCGTCCGGGGTCAACATGCAAGATCCGTCTCCCTCCGGAGAACAGGTTCAGGAAGAGCTCAAGCATCGCTGATGCTATCAATCTGACTCTGGCTTGCTTCACGCGCCATGCGAGCCTCGATCTCCCTCAGCTGACTCTCACGAGCCAACAGTTCCTGGCGCTTCTCAGCGATCTCGCGCTGCACCTTGAGTTCGATCTCGCGGAGCTTCTCCTCCTCGCGACGAAGCTGCTCCTCCTTCAGTCTAACGGACTGGGATGCTAGGTCTTCTGGGTTCATCGAAGAGTCTTGTGTACTGTGGCTAGGCATTAGTTTTCGTTCTAGCGGACCATAACAATGGCAAGCGGGTATACGTACGGCGTAGCACCATCCACACTCTTGCTGAGCTTCTCAGTACGGTAGTTTTCGTAGAGGAAATCGTGGGTAATTTCCTTAAGGTCTGCGAGATGGCTGTGAAGAAGAGCGCTGCGGATGGCCAAGAAGTCCGAGTGACGGGGGTTCTCAACGTCCACGACACCCCAAGGATATTGCCTGGCCCGCACCTTCTTGCCGTCAATCTCAACAAAGTCCTCAGAGCCAACAATGGCAAACGGCATCAGACCACGAAGCTCAGCATTCTCCTCCACGGTGTCCTCGTCGTCCTCCTCGATATCGTAAGGGAAGTTGTACACGGGAATGCGGTAGTGCTCAATATCCTCCATGATAAGCTTCTTGGATTCGGCCAATTCGGCAGGGGTGAGAGAGTCGGCCTTGCCGATGACGGGGATGACGTTGACACGGGGAGAAAGGCGCTTCATCAATTCGATGTCCAGCTCACGCAGTCCATGGCCGGTCGGTGTGATGAAGTAAAGCAGGACGTGAACACGGTTGTCCCTGAAGCGGGGGTTACGCTTGATTCGGGATTCCTCCGCAAGAATGTCATCGTATTGGCGCTCAAGGTATCCAACGATTTCGCCGAAGCTGTTGGGACGGTCAGTATTCGTAGGGGGCGTTTGGAAGGCGGCCAAGTTCAACGTGCCTTGCTTCGTTGTCAATCTGGTCTCCGAAACCGGGGGTATCAACGATGGTGAGGGAAATGCGGGTGCCTTCGTCGTCCAATTCCAGCTCTTTTCCCGAGATCTCATTAGTGGCGTGTATGCTGGTGGTCCAGATGGCGGTGACTTACCAACTGTGACTGGCTTGATGCGGACACCCTCCTCAATGTGAGCATTGGCCGGGTCGTCGCAGTCCTTGCCTTCTAGGACCTTCTTTCCACAAAGAGTGTTGACGAAGGTGGTACGTCCTATCGAAAGGGGGGAATTCGGTCAATTCTGCAATCGAAGTTGGGTTGTATGATGCTGCACATACCGGTTCCGCTGGCACCACAGACCATCAGACAGAACTGGATACCCTTCTTGACATTCTTCTTGCGACGGAGCTTCATCTGGGAATTAGAGCAAGAAATTAATCGTGGACAAATCTCTGGCCAAGAGCCTGAAGACAGATAATGAAAAGAAAACGACGGTTCCAGGGACAATGGACGGGGTGGGTTGGATGGGAGGGGGAAGGAGCATGGATAGGCTTCAGAGCAACAAGGCCAGAAAGGGGAAGGAAGTAACATACCGCGTTGAACGACATGATGAATTAAAAGGGGAGGAATGGAGGAAATTAAAGAAGAGAGAAGAAGAGATTGAAGAAAATAGAGGGAGAAAGCGAGTGGCAGAGACAAGGACGAAGGTGGTTTGAGCCAAAGGAAAGGAATGGGGGGGAAAACAAGAGAGGTGGAATGAAGGTTGAATGAATTAGATGGAGGAGTGGATGGGATGGGATGTGGAATGGCTGCGTTGCTCCCCTGAGGTTCGACGACGGGCGGACACTCTCTGGGCAAGCTGGAGGGACTAAAGAGCCGTTTGGCTGGCGCTTGCTACTGATCTGGCAGTTAGGGGATTTGCTAGACTCTCTCTAAGGGGGGGATTTCCTCCCTCCCGTTTTCCTGTTCGTAACAATTTCTTACCGCTCTGGAACGGTCACAACTGCCCCCTTTCACCCTGCAGTCCCCAACGGTCCAATCATCGCCCTCTTTCTTTCTCCAGATTGATCGGTCGCTGGTAATATTGGTATCTCATGTAACCGATGATACATCGATACCTTACTGGTCGTACCACTCCCACTTTTCTAAACAATTCAGTTACTCTCCCATGGATAGCGGGCTCCCAGGCACGGTTCCTGTATGGAGTAAATGGAGTCTAGTAGTTATCCCCCTACTAAGCACTTAAGGTACATGCTTACGAACGCTTTGTTCAATTGCTTGGGTAGATAGCTGCCGATTTCAATGTACACAGTATGATTCCCATCTAGTATGCCCAGACCTTGTCTTTGGGTATCTCCCTACCTACGTACTCTTTCAACACTCATTATAATACCTGTCCAATCTGGGGACGCCTTGATCATCAATTATTGTCTTTTCACTGAGAGAGAACACACTTCAGGTCTCCACTCAGCGGCCAGTGCTATGACTCGATAGGGAATTTGTTTCCTTTAGACCAACTCACATATTATCCGCTAACCTGTTCTCTGAGGTACAGCGCGACAAGTCAACTGAATAAAAGCATAAGTGGTTGTTGCTGCAATGTCTGGCTACTAGCCTCTGTGCTCTCCCCAGTTCTTCTCAGGGGTCGGGGGCAGCAGAAGGCGTTTCCACCGCCGCCGTGGGTCGCTGCGGGCCGCCGTAGCGGTAAGCAATTACCCAAATACCATACAAGCTTGGAAATTTAGGCCTCAGGCCTGAAACAATGGCTCCGAGACATTATTGACTTACGGAATATTCCTAACCGCAAAACGGTAGACTAACCGCGCGGGTTCGAATCACGGCCTTATCAGTACATGTTTTTCTTTTTCTTACTCTCGATCATCTTTGCCAAAGTATATCAAAAGTTCTTCTTCGCCTTCTGCTTGGGTGTAAGATGATGTGCATTGATCTCCGTTGAACAACATCACCACGCTGGGCAGACAGTCTATTGGCCCGGCATCCGCTGCCCTTCCGGCATTCCCCCAGCCAAAAGCGGACCCCCGGGCCTTATCTACGTTACTGATGCTCGGGTGAGGTCAGCGACCGCTGTCGATCTTCTAGTTTCCTGTCTACCTTTCTACCATCCATAGCTCTGATGGCCTCTTTCCCTGGTGGCCAGAATGAACACCCGACAAGTTATCGATGAGTCTGTGGGGCCACTCTCACTCTCTGCTACATTCAACAATGATACCTCCTGCTTCGCAGTTGGGTTGGACACCGGCTTCTGTGGTAGGTCCTAACCATGCCCTTCGTGCAATAGATCCCCTTCCGGGATATCCAAGCTAAGAACAATATGATCTCGATGCAGTCTTCAATACCGACCCATGTGAGCTCAGAGTATCAAGAGGTATATACGACAGCTTCAGCCACACCATCCTCCAGCTCCGTATCACTAATGCCGTTCGCTCCATCTAGATTTCAATGCCGGCATCGGGGTAGTCAAGATGCTTGGCCAGACGAACTACCTAGCTATCGTTGGCGGAGGGAGACAGCCAAAGTTCCCACAAAATAAGGTGTGCCGACTTTTGTATCTATCTTGCGCAGCTTATGCTCACACAGCGGTCGCAGTTGGTCATTTGGGATGACGCAAGACAGAAAGCAGTAATTACGCTGGAGTTCCGCACCTCGGTCCTGGGCGTCCGATTGTCCAAGTCGCGCATCGTTGTCGCCCTCCTCAATAGCATCCACATCTTTGCCTTCTCGAACCCTCCACAGAAGCTATCATATTTCGAGACAACGGATAACCCACTGGGGCTGGCTTGTCTAGGGCAGCAGGTGCTCGCTTTTCCAGGTCGGTCCCCGGGCCAGGTCCAACTGGTGGAGCTTGAGACGGGGAATGTCAGCATCATCCCTGCACACAGCACGCCATTGCGCGCGATGACATTGAGTCCCGATGGTGAAGTGTTGGCGACGGCGAGTGAAGCGGTACGTCCCTGTCCCTACGACTGCTGATGCGACGCAGACTACTGACCAGGCGCATTCTATCTAGGGCACGTTGGTCCGGGTCTTTTCTACGGCTAACTGCACCAAAATGGCCGAGCTACGACGCGGTGTTGATCATGCGGTGATATTCTCTCTTGCCATTTCGCCCTCGAATCTTCTACTGGCTGTAACTTCGGATAAGTCTACCCTGCACGTGTTCGACCTTCCGCATCCCCGACTACCGACGAACCGTACTCCAGCTGCAGCTTCCCCGACCGAAGAACAAACAAACCAGAAATGGGGCATTCTCGGGAAAATTCCACTATTGCCAAGAGTATTCTCTGATGTGTATTCATTTGCAAGCGCCCACTTTGAAATGGGGGAGGAAGCACCACCCGGCTCGCATTATGTCCCGCCCCTGGGTAACTCATACGGGAGCCCGTCGAAAGGCGTGATAGGTTGGCGCGACGACAGGACCATTCTTGTTATCGGCGCCGGCAGGGATGGTCGATGGGAGAAGTTCGTTCTGCGCGAAGGGGACGATGGAAAGCGGTATTGCCTGAGAGAGGGCTGGAAAAGATATTTGGGAGGCAGCTGAAATTCTGTCGGCGGGATAAAGAGTGACTGTTCGCAGCACTAATTATTCGTTTTGCACCAAGGTAGTAGCTGTTCCAGATGCAGGCAAGATCCGTATGCATGCGCCCATGCCACAGCATTGATTCTGAGATGGACACGATATCGCATGAGCCGGCGCAGGATGATGAAATAGCAGACTTGCATTTCAAGAACAGGCGCGGACCGCAGCATTCGGCCACAAAGATCCTGGAGATCTTTTATTGGATGGCTTTTTCCCAGGATCAGTTAGACGACTTAGTCCTCATTAACATATTTAATATCTAGATAGCTTTTCCAGACATTTAACGGTGTCGATCATGTCTATCTCTGTAGCGTCGGGAGTCGGGGGATCGCGACGCGACCGGCGTCCTGTCTCTGTCGGACCTCTCCCTTCTAGAAGGAGACCTCGCTCTATGAGATCGCTCTTCCCTCCTGGGCGACCGATCTCTGCGTCTTCTCTCCGAATCTCGGTCGTCGTCATGTCTCCGGCGGTGAGAACGGTGATGGCGGCTTGATCTCTCACGGCTGTCACGTCTCCGAGATGATCTCTCGCTGCTGCGCATCTTTTCCAAAGCGAGTGCGACTTCCTCCTTCTTCTCTTCGATAAGGAATTCCTTCATTGGATCTTCCTCGTCGTGATTCTTAATAAGTTCCTGTAGCTCGATCTCCTCCTTGAGCAGAGGCCGTCTCGCAGGCTCCTCTTCCCTTGATTCACTTCCCCTTCTCTTCCTCCGTCTTCTCCGTTCATCATCTGTATCTCTGTCATCATGATCCTTGGTGTTCGTATCACCCATGAGCTTTGCGACATTGTCTGTTTCCTCCTCGTCATCGCGCCGCTTGTACCTCACGTGGTCCACACGCAGCACTCTTCCCAGAACTGTTGCCCCACCAAGATTGTCGACAGCGAGATCTGTACTGCGTTGATCCTCGTATTTCAGAAAGCAAAAGCCTCGACTCTTTCCGGTCTCTTTGTCGCGCACCAGATTGATGTGCACGGGCTCGCCGTATTGCGAAAAGATGGTTATAATATCACCCTCGGATAAATCGTATGGTAGTCCACCGATGTAGATGTAAGCAGTGTCTCTGTAGTCGGCGTGCCAGGAAGCTTCCGGGGATCTGAGGTAGTCCACAATGGTTAGCTAATAAACCAATAGGTTGAGCTGCAAATAAGCGTGACATACATGGCATTTTCAAGCTCGCGCTTGTTGAGCGCTTGGATTTGGCGGATATTATTCATTATTGAATAGAGGGTCGCGGAAGCGAGTCAATAATCCCCTCGGGACACAAAAAGGTCAAATAAGAGCACAGCTGAATTGCGCCGGCGAAGCAAGAAAGTGAGTGGCTGAGAGGGAGGGACTGGAAGCAGCAGAAAAGCTGGCGGGTTCAGCTCATCACGGGCTGGCTCCGCGGGAGGGTCCCACCCGCAAGAACGCCGACACTTTGGATTGTTTACTGGAGTGCAACTTAAACGTATTTCTCGACTAAACCGCCTTCCTCTTGAACTGACAACCCCCACCATCTGTGTGATTCAAATAGCAACAGCGGGCTTACCTACGATACCGCTCATCCGGGTGGGCAATTTGGCCACGGACCCGCCGTTAATCGCTACAAGAGATCGTCCCCAACGCCAGATTCCCCTGACCCCAAATCCGCTTGCCTGGACCGATATCCACCATCTCCTCCAAACTCCGCGGCTCACGCGTCAAAGCCGTCGGACTAGCCTCACAATTATTCGGGCGTTACATGGCATGGTCTGCGCCAACTGAACATAGTCGAAATCGAACAGACGATGTCTGCGTCAAGCCAGATCCCCGGCTCCAGATTCGGCACTGGAAACAATAGCCGGCCGTCGAGCAAGGATGGACCCAAGAAGAACATCTGGTCTTCTATGCTGGATAGTGTCGCGAATGGAAAGCGTCTGCCTGAGAAGAATTTGCTTATCCTAGGTGCGAAGACCTGGTCGCTGCTGCCGTCGAGCGGCATGGACATTTTACTGTTTTGGGGCTGGGTCGCTAATACTTGGACTGATTTCCAGGAGGCACGCCTGAGAGTCAAAGAGAATTTCTAGACACACTCGCCGCCGATTCTTCCGATCCTAGTTTGTCGAATGATAAGCGAAAAGGGAGGGTACCGCCGGTAGCCAACCAGTTCGCTTTGGGATATACATATCAGGATGTGCTGGATGCGGATCACGAAGGTAATTGTTCCTTGCGTTGGGCTGAGTGGTCGGCTCAGCCTGCATTGTACGGGTGGCTAAACAAATGGTGCTCCGGCGAATAGATACTCTTGCGCGCGTCTCTGCATACCTACTCTCTGAACCGTCTCTATCTTTCGCTCCCCTCCTCAAGCCGCTCCTGACCCCTCAATCGATTCCGGAAACACTCGTCGTGATCCTACTGGATTGGTCGGACCCATGGACATGGATTCGGCGACTCCGGGAATGGGTCCGTCTTCTCCGACACGTGCTGATATCGCTTGACGACGAGACGAAGATCGTCATGGAAGAGAATCTCACAGAGTGGAGGGACCGGAAACGAGGCACGGATCCGAGTTCAGGAGGGGCACAAGGATTTACCAGCTCCGGAGGCCCTGTGACGATACCGCTGGGGCCAGGCGAGTGGGATGAGGGGCTTGGAATCCCCATGTGTGTGGTCTGCCAAGGGGTATGTTAATCTACTTCAGGCTTCCGGCAAGTCTCTATATTGACAATTCCTATGCAGGCGGACAAGATTGAAAAGCTGGAGAAGGACCACGGATGGCACGAAGAGCAATTCGACTTCATCCTTCAGTTCATGAGAACACTACTACTCAAGCGTAAGTACAGCGGCCAACATCGCTTGAGATCCGATTCTAATGAAAAGCAGACGGCGCATCGTTGATCTACACCACCCCGTTCCTCGCCAACTCCTTGCAGAGCTTAATACACTCCTCCCTCGGCATACACTCTCTCCTAAAAAGACAGTCCCTCAAACACAACGTGATCGACCGGGACAAGATTCTAGTTCCCTCGAATTGGGATTCTTGGGGCAAGATCCGAATCATCCGTGAAGGCTTTGACATGGAAGGCATATCGACAGCATGGTCGATCGAGATTCAGGATCCACCGGAGCCACTCACGAACGGCGTGGATGATCGCACTTCCGACGAACAAGCTGCAAACGCAGTGGACGATGGGACTAGCGCCGTAGCAATCTTCGAGCAAACCATCCAGGACCCGAAGCGCGACACATCAATGGCTCTAACAGGCAGCCAACGGAATGGAAACAAGATCGAAGTGGACACATCCGACATGCAGAGCTTCCTCACGAAACAGCTTGAGGTCCTGGAGCAACTGAAGGCGGAAGACGAGAAAGACCGCGCAGCGAAGAAGGTGCCACAGCTCGAGATGTCCCCATTAGACGACAACGGACGAGTCAACGAGCACATTGGTCCCGTACAGTTCAACATGGGAGGAATTCAAGTCGACGCAGACGACATGCTCCGCAAGCTAAAGGTAAGATACCCCCCTCACCACCCCTATCCCTACCAACCAAATTCCTAACCACCCCAACCCCAAACAGGAACGCGAAGCCAGCCGCTCTCAAAGAAAAGAAACCCTCTCATCATCCGCCGGCGACGAAAAAGCCCACAACCAAGCATTGGCGAACTTCTTCGCCGGCCTGGTGAAGAAACCCGGGGCAAGTCCCCGCGGCAGCCCATCAGCGTAAAAAGAATAGTGCGATACACCGGCGATGGGTAGTAGATGATTTCTCTTGTTCTTTTTCCTGTCATTATGGCGGTCATTGTTCATGTTGATGTTGATGTTGGATTGTAATTTTATTCTTTCCTTTTTTTTTTCACTCTTATTCCCTCTTTCTCTTTTTCATTTTCATTTTCATTTTCACACATTCACGATGCAGTACATACATAACATATTTGGAATGAGTGATTATAACTAACGCGGGGGGATTGTGGCCTGGCTGGCTTGGTGACATCTCGTTGTTGTTACTGCTGCTGCTTTCTCGTTGCTGCTGCTGTTGCTGTTTGTGATACCAGAATGGATTAGGCTGGCTTTTTTTTTTTTTTTTTTCTTAGGAGTCGGAGAAAGATGAATGAATTTCTCGATAGTATCTATTGCTTTTCTTTCACGGTGCCTGCTTCTAGCTTTTGAACATGGTTGGTTGAAAGACTTCTCTTCGTTAGCGTTGCTTTGGAGTCCTGTGGGTGTTGAGAAATAGATAATGAATAGCTTCATTCAGAGTTGGGGTGTGTTTCTCAAGACAGAACAGACACTAGTATAGTCCCCCAAACTCAAAACTAAATCATGATATTATAAAGTGATATTATGCCATAACCACCCGAAACCACACCTAATACTAGTAGGAATACAGATATCCGAAACCACAACAACGAAAACCACTAATCAATCTATCTCTCAGAGACACCGTAAAATATTACATACCGAAAGTATAGCATAATAACAAACCATCATCACCAATTCTCCCAAACGAAATCAGGCAACACATGACGCATAATGCTCCAATGCTCGAGAGCCGACCGATCCTGATACTTATGAAGCAGGTGGGTGTTCATAGAGTGAAGGACACGACGACCGCCCTTCTCGATAGTCTCGAAGCGACTCGCATCGATCTCAACCTTCGGCATCAGATACATCTGGCGGAACTTGCTGCCCATGTAATCGGCAGAAACGGGGTCGCGGAAGGTGAGCGGCGTGGCGGAGCTCTTTTTGCAGAAGATCACCATGTTGGTGAAGTCGGTCGTGAGGTCGGAGTCGGAGGCTTCGCGGAAGATGCGGCAGGTTGGGAAGACGTATTGGATGGTGCGGACGGTTAGGGCGGCGGGGTAGAGGGAGATGTCGCCGGCGTAGTTCTTTGGGGGGTTAGTTTGGGGGTGATAGGGAGGTGATGGGAGTTTAGAGGGGAGGGGGTCTTACGATGGCAATGACTCCGTCGTCCTTGAGAAGGGAGGATAGGCTTTCGAGGAACTCGAGAGTGAAGAGCTCGAGGGGCTCGACGCCTCCGGTGAAGACGTCGTGGACGATGTAGTCGTACTGGGCTGGGGGAGTGCGCTTCACGAAGGCAGTGGCGTCTTCGATGGCGGCGATGTGGTTCGAGGGAAGGTGGAAGTATTCGGTGGCGAACTTGTGCACGACAGGGTCGAGTTCCACGATGGTTGTCTCGATGCCGTGGTGGATTAGGGCAGAGGGGGTGGTGCCGACGCCGAGGCCGCTGGGAGAGATTAGGTGTCTGAAAGAGAGGGAGTTGCTGCTGAGCTTACATGACGAGTGCCTTGCTGTTGGCATCTACGCGGGGCTCGCCGTGGTCGGTTTCAACCAGACGGACGGCCTCGAGCATGGTGAAGACCGAGTAGATCGGGTCCATAACGGCAGGGTTGTAGTTGTTGGGCATTTTGGTCCACTGGCCGCCGAGCAGGCTGTGGTCGCAACGCATGACACGGAACCCATCATTCAGGTTATCCAAGACGGAGATGTAGCCGGTGGTGGAGTCCTGGCGGGCAACAAGGGCGAATCCCTCCTCGTTGAGGAAAGAGTTCAAGGCTCCAGAGTTCATGTGGACATTGGACGTCATGGAGAACAGAAGGGAGGGAATAGCGAAGAGCAGGAACTTGGAAGGGGCAATAGCGGTGTAGAAGACTGGGAGCAAGAGTTGGAGACCAGCACGAGAAAAGAAGAAGGTCGTTCCAATGAACTTGGCCAGAAATGCTCTGGCGAACTTCTCGCCGGTCTTGTAGAGGACATAGGAGACCACGAGAGGAACGTGCTCAGCGACAGCATCACCGTGTCGGCCCAGATCCAAGCCCGACTGCACCAGCTTACCAGCACAAGCCACAGAGAGCAGAAGCAAAGGGTAGTAGGAGATGACCTCGGTGACTACAGCTCCGAAGGGGTTTCCCATAACGGAGCTTGATGCGAACAAGAAACTCTGAAGGGTAGGAACCCAGAATGCCACAACAGGGAGCAGGAAAAGAGCCCGGCGGCCGGTCAATCGCTGGATGTAGTCCTTAAGGAACCATCCAGCAGCGCCAACAAGTGCCACTCCATAGCCGTGGAAGATATGGGCAGGAGCCGAGCCATATACTGGCGTCAGCATCAGCACCGTCAATGGCGAGTAGAACGCTATCAAGAACAGCAGAGCAGCGCCAGTGAGCAACTGTCTGGTGGTGGGCTGGACAAGACCAGCTAGGGAAGACATGATGTCAGACCTCCAACCCTAAGGGAATCCGGTAAGACCGATCAATTGAGAGCTTCTGTAGGAACCAATTAGTCTAGGTCCATCTCGCGACTGTCATGTTTGTTGGCTTCTATTTAACAGCGGAAGAGCTGGGGCGGGGAGCTTCAATGCAACGCCACAACGTGAGCCAAGAAGAATCCCTGAGGGACCCACGTTGTGAAACAGATTGAAACCAGGCTAGTCTTACCGGTACTTTTCAGATAGAAAGTCGGACTGATCAACGGACGGTCATTATTCGCTCGGGCGACGTTTTGACGCTGAGGATAATTTCCCATTGCCGTCCGCGCGCTTCCGGCCCGAATGGGTTTAGTTTCCCCGCGTGTCTCGCCGCGCTTCTCTTCATCCTCAACTTCCCATCGTCATCATCCACCGTGGTCCAACTACTACGCCCATTATGCCTCTTTTTCCCATGGGTACGGGTGTCGCTCCTGAGGCAGACTCTTCCCAGATGGAGTCCGACCCCGTGAAGAGATCCCAGTCACCATCTGCGGCGACGAAAATCAAAAACCGGCGCAAGCGCTATCTGGACATGCACCCGGAGTATTTCTCTGCTGATCTCGAGCTAGCCGGTCCGCTCGCTCTGTCTCCTTTAGACTGATTGGTGTCACATTCAGTCGCTCTGTCTATGACAGGGGATGTTTAAGCCAAGCTAATATGCCAGCCCTGCAGACCCGTTGCTGTATGATCGCTTAATCCGTCGATTCCAAACTCCAGCCGAAAGAGAAGCTGAAGGACGTGCCAAAGGCTTCTCAGGGGTGCTGCAAGCGGACCTATGTAGATCCGAGGCCAAGTTCGAGGCTCTTTCCCATCCTGATCCTCACGCCATGTTCAGCTATACTCGTGGTCCCAACGGAGAGATCCTCGCGGAAGATCGAGACGAAATTCCCCCGAATAAGGAGGAAGGGGAGAAGGCGTGGCGATGGGAGATGACCTTGCGGTTCCTAAGGGGGGAAGACGGCGATTTCGATTATACCTCGGTTGATGACAATGACGAGTACGATGATTGGAACGTCGAGCAGGAAAAATACTTTGACGATGAAGAACCAGAGTGGCTTGTTGAAGGAGTAGATGATGGAGAAGTCAAGTCCCATCTGCAAGGCGAAACCGGTATCCAGGATTTCTGATGGTCAAATCAGTACTCCGATATTGCTCATCCGGGTGTTGTGGCTTGCTCAGAAATCCTGGTGGCTATTTACGCCCAGCGTTCTCCTTCGAATGATGCGCTTACCTGCAGGTCCTCAGTCATTCAACTGCTTTGCGGTTTTGGCTTCGGAGCGGAGGTTCTGCTGCACTTGTTTACAGTGCGTTCTCGCTGAATGGGTAAACCCCATGTCCATAGCACGCGATCGGAACTGTCATAAATGAGCAAGATGCCTCAAAGCTCTTGCTTTGGCAGGCTTGTCACCCTCATTCCGCAATGAGAATGCAGTGCTCTTTGCCATACATTGGTTTAGCAATGATGAATTTGCATTCCGTGGATATACTTATGGAACAACAACTATATCCAGGATGGAACAATACTTGCTCTCGACCATAATGGATGCGTTAGCGATGTCACGTGCCATCCAGTCGGCATCCTTACTGCTTCACAGAACCAGCATCTTGATGACTCAGTCCTCCAATTGGCCTACTGAGAGGCTCCAACAATGATGTCGGTTATATGCTCATACGTTGACCATTTGTGCTGTAGACGCAGGAACAGCATGGTCAAGTGGTGGCGCCATGTGCCTTGGTCCAGTTCAATGTATTATGGGAAGTCGGGGAAGGATGGAACGTCAGACTGGAGGCTGGACCACCTCTAAATAGTGTTAACGCTCGTCCATAGCATCAGTAAAGCCGACCTCCGTTACATATGATCTTGTTCTTCCTAAAGTAGCTTACCTCGGATATTCAATATTCAGCATATACTCGCCTCCCTGAAGCCTTTCAATCTCATCAATTAGCACCCGGTGAATTCTCTATATCCATACTCTACTATCTGTATCTGTATCCAATCTGTACCCTTTAAAACGTAGGCGTCTATATCATCTCCGAGGTTTTGCCTGTGGCCTCCATGGCCCTGGAGCGATGATGCTCCAGGCTGGTGTTGCTGATGGCATCGCTTGCCCTGCCATAGTCATGTCATGATGTCGTGAGAAAACTGGTCTAAGTGCAAGTATGACAAGACTCTACTGTCTAGATGCCGCTTCCTTCCCACAGAAACTCCCCCGTCGTCAACATCCTCCTTTCCATCGTTCAACTCTTGTTCTGCAAAGTACTTTTGGCTCTAGCTATAGCAGGACATAGCTCTATAAGCCCAACTTAGCTTTGTAACTATTGCAGTCGATCATTTGCTATATTGGCTGCAAGTCTTGTTTCTCCACCCCCTTCTCCATCCTTTTCCCTTTAGTTCTCGTTGTGACCTACACAACGATATCTTAGCGGATATACCTTGCTTCCAGCTATATCCCGTCGTGGACCAAATAAAGGTCCACTCGTCTCAACAGACTCGTATCGATACAAATACGATGTCTTCCACTGCTTCTTCCTCTTCCTCCTCGAGCATCGATCACAGTGTCGGCTCCAGCGAGCTGGATGATCGCCTTGGGAAGTTGATCATGCCATGCTCCAAGCCCACTCCTAGCCAAAGCAGCGACTACCAAGCTGTGGAGGTCCCCGACGACTTCGACACGAGCCTAACCTCCGAAGCATCCGATAGTATGTGGGTGCTCGAGAAGATGAAAGCCTATAAGATGAAGGAAGCCTTCTACAGTAGCAAAGGCGAGGTTCTTGGCAGAGGAGCCTACGCACAGGTCCGCATCGTCTATAAGCGCAACAGCGAAGACAGGACATCTCGTTATGTCGCCAAGGAGTTCTTCGAGAGAAAGTATGCCCCATACGATGTTTTTGTGCGTGATATTCGTAAAGAGTTCATCGTTGCTCGTCATGCTTGTCATCCAAATGTCGTCAAAACTGTTGACCTTTGCATCAAGGAGAGGCAGTGTGGCATTGTCATGGAATATTGCAGCCAGGGTGACCTCTTAGATGTCCTTTCGATCGGTCGGCTAAGCACCACTGGCAAGTTATGCCTGTTCAAGCAGCTTCTACGTGGTGTATCCTACCTTCATAACCATGGCATCGCCCATCGAGACCTGAAGCCAGAGAATTTACTCCTCACGGAAAAGGGTGTTCTCAAGATAACCGACTTTGGCTTCGCCGTGGTCTTCAGGGACCCCGAGATAAATTCCGATGGAGTCCGCCAGTGTTCGAACAAAAACATCTGCGGTACCGAACCCTATCTGCCACATGAGGTATGGTACAGTAGATACTATGACCCTCGCCGGCTTGATGTATGGGCCTGTGCCTTGATCGGACGATACTTGTTCAACCATAACATAGCCTGGGAGGTCGCCGACATTAAAAAGGATAGTCATTTCCAAAAGTTTGTACTTGATTGGGCGGAATTTCGTAAAAGCCGTTCTGTCAGCCTTATTGATTGGGCTGATATCCACGAATGGCAGCCAGGGTTCCGGCCTGCAGACTACCCGAGCCCTGAGATATGGTCTTTGATCCTCCTGATGCTGCACATTTGCCCCAACAAAAGGCTCATCATCGACAAAGCCTTGAATAGTCCCTGCATTCAAGCTATTGATTGCTGTTCTCCGACGGGGCTTGAAACAGCTTCTACAGACTCTCCCTCTCCCCCTCCTGATACTCATCATCATTGTCAGGATCCCCAGGGGCTGTCACCACCACAGCACTCATCAGACACGGACACCAGGACAACTAAGTCAAGTGACATCAATAGGCGAGTATATTCAAGTGAGTAGTGAATAACTCACTAGGATTCAATATATCTCGGGTCGATGATTCTCAACCTAATCCTTTAGTTGAGAAAATATTCTCAGCTTACTACACACGTTGAACCGCGGTGCAATGACAATACTGCGGTTCATCCTCTAAAGAATCGGGCCCCAAATTATGGGCGCAATTGACTTCAACGACACATACCAAGTCAACGAACTGATATCTAATATGTTCTACGTTGATGCTTCAAACTCGATTATATACAACAAGCCGACTGCATTTGTCGTGCCGCTACTTTTGAATAAGATGTCCACTCCGCCGCTGTGTGTCAACAGAATTCCTCTAATATGTCGACTTCAGTGACTACGCCTCGATGTGACGAGTCTCTCGAATGACTAACTCGAAATAAGAAGATCTAGAGGGCTAATGCGAGCAAGGAAGAAGTAGATAGTCGGATGATAATCCGATATCCTTCTGTCAATCTAAATCACAGGAGAACTGAAAAATATCTAGAAGCTAACTAGTATAACTATCTATACATCAACATTGCTCACTTCTATCCTTTCGCCTGCGTCACAATGTTGCTTTGATACTATCAAGCCGCATTTAGTACTCTTGGAGGCTCTCAGGCACTTAAAGGCCACCGAGAAGACTTGAATATGGTACTCTATTACATTATCTTTTTATAGAAAGGACCAGAAAAGTCTACAACCTCTTATTTATAAACGAAGGCCCTGAAAGACAAGAAACACATACCACGAGAGTCTAATAACTCAGATAATTAAAGCCAGAAGGTACTATGCTACGGTAAATTTCAACATTGACGAGTCTCTCAAATTCGTCGAACAGAATTGGAACATTCATTAAATGAGTATAAAGCCTGCGCTCTGCCTCTTCTATTTCCATACATGAACCCTTCCTACTCCCTTAAGCTGATGCAGGCTGACTTCTGCTACTTTTTCATTATTATATATGATTTTGGACCCAGTAGGGGCTCATCTACCTGTCCTATCAATGCCCTATTTGTGGTTACTACCTAACATGTGCCCCCGATATAAAGACACTTTACAGAAATTTGCGATATGCGGTTCAGGATGAATGGATGTATTTTCCAACCTTGGTTCCCTTTCCATTCTTTTGAAGTGGCTTTGAATATCAGGATCGTGGTACGATATTTGGGGCTGTATTAGCCATGTACGAACACCGATGCGAGGATCTGAAGCCCCACGCCGGGGATGCGGCCAAAGGCGCTGGTATTGAGCCTGGTTGGCGGGTTGGCATACTGAATTTACTCAGTTTGCACTAGATATGTACCAAACTGTGATCTTATGGTATTTGTACTATACGTGTTTTCATCATAAAACAATTGAAATAAATGTGGGCTTGTTGGAGTATATATTCTGTCTCCAGTCAGGGAAAGTAGATCTTAAACCCGTTCTTACGGAACATGAGATTAGTGGCCAAGCCATCCGTCCTTTTGTGAACAGAGGCTCGGCTGGGTTAACAACAGAGCTTCGTATTTATTCCGGATACAATTATTGATTGTCAATCCCTCTGCCATCCATTTTGTATTTAAAATCGTCAAGATTCCAGATGTGATCGAGAACCAGATTTACTCTGAACTAAAACATGTGCTTATGCCTTATGGATTACTCGTATATCTCCTCAATGATAACATTCTAAGGAGGAAATATTCATGCTTAGCACTATTCAACTAGAGACGCCTGTCTGGGACTTAGCCGCCGATCTTTTTATAAGACTCCTTATTCAATCAAGAAGTCGCGCCATGCTGACGAAGTAGCTCGGCCACTTCAGCTCTACCATTCTCCAATGCCTTAACCTCCTCAGCCACACTCTCGTCCGTGGAACAATATGTCTTGAACTTCTCGATCTCTTCCTCCGTGACAGCAGTTTGAGCAGCCTGCAGAGCGGTAGCAAGAGATGCTTCTCCCAGCCGGATATTCACGTCCGCTCCAGCCTCAATCAAGCGCTTCGCCGAATCCTTAAGTCCAAAGACCGCAGCAGCAATCAGAGCAGTCGCGTATTTTGCCTCGGAGTGAGTCTGATTCACATCTGCACCGGCCTCAATCAAGAATTCAAGCTTGTCGATGTCATATTCAGACATCGCAGCCTTGGTGATGGCATTGCCGTAGTCTTGCTTCTTCAGTGGCTGGTTAACATCCGCCTTTGCTTCTATCAAGGCCTTGAGAATGTCAAGATCCCATCCATCAATTGCTGCTTCAAAGGCATTGGAGTACTTCCCGGATTGAAGTGGCATGTTGGCATCGGCCCCTGCATCCATCAGTGTTCTCACAATATCCGATAAGTTGCGGGAGGC